ATGTTTTCATACTTTCCACAACTGCACAAGTCCTTATCCTGTTCTTAGTGAGACAGAACTGCTACCATTATTTATGGTCCATTTTATGTGGCACTAATTAGACAAGATCAGCTAATGTGCTCTACTTAGTGGTAACCTTTCTTATTAAGGTTTTGGGGGAACAAGTTTATTTTTATGACATCTTTCAGACTGACATTTGTATTCTTTATATGTGCACACACACATATATACACGCTCTCACACGTATGTGCTTCCTGAGGACTATTTGCATAGTTAGGAAACACATGTTTGTTACCCTAAAGTAGTTATATTTCTATCTTTTGCATTACTCAAGTAATCTGAAAAACTATTCGAATTCAAGTATGAAAAATATTTCTGTTGTTACTGGGGAGAGTATCTCATGGTTATTCCAAATTATTCCAATTATCTATGGTATTCCAAAGAATCAAGTGCAGTTTCTGCCAGACAAACCTTTTTGGGGCCTTATGCAAATGATTTAGTAAAAACTGGGCACCAAAGCAAGGTGAGTTGTAGGAGGTGCACCTCAGGCTATCTGACTTTCCTCTCTCCATTTATTGAACAAGTATAATAGTGCTCTCCTACCTCAGAGAGGTGTTCTGGATACGGTGTAAATATTGTGCAGTAACAGGATAGTGTAAAAATGAGAACCCTGCAAGAACATTGAAAATAGGTTACAATAAAAATTTCCAGAAATCTGCAACCAGACATTTATATGGTAATCTCATCAAGGTTTTGTTTCTTTCCATGAAACACAAGGAGAGGTGACCTACTCCATGCACAGCATTTTCATGCTCCTTTTTAAACATGCAGGATGTATCTGCCTTGGGGGTGATAGGCCAGGGGATTCATCTCATTACTGATGCCAAATGCAATCAGTAGACAACTTGCTGCTTTAATTTCTGAGGTCTTATAGTTTTGGTTGTAGTTAAGCTTATCATGTGATCATTTAGAAAAAAAGGTGAATGGTTGTTTTTCCTCTAGTATATCTACCCATTGGCAATGAGTAGTTAGGATTAAAAGCTCCATCTAGCCCAAGGCTATAATGAATATTCAGGAAAAATGATTCTGTACTGCTGCTTAGGGAAGTAAAAAGACAACCCCTGTAACATTCAAATCTCCTGTGCCTTTGGAATAAACAAGCAATATTTGATTAAGAACAGGAAGACAGAAGACACACTGATGTACAGCTCATACCAAAAGAGACTTTATATGGTATTAAATTGCCAACAGATTCCTGTAGGTACACTGCATGAATCAATATTATCTTTTAGCTGATGTTAATTTTACCAAGCTTTTATTTAGATAGGGTTTGTTTAAAAAAAAATAAAAATACAGCAGATTAATGAAGTGTGGTAGCAATGGATGTCACAGTCCATCGAAGCATTTGTTCATTCTTCTGGATTGACACACAGTGCAAAATTATGCTACACATTCTGTAACAATCTCACTGTATCATTGTTAATAAGAGAACCAACAAACCTAGTTATGTGTAATGAAAGAAGATAATTTATAGCAACATGGTAGACTCTGAACCAAAAGCATTACTAAATGTACTAAATTAAGCAGAATAGTATTTTATTTAGTTGATATTGTTGATTTTGTGAATACAAATGCCCATCTGCTTTTACGGCTTATGTTATTACATTTTACTTATCAAGCCATTTAGAAAATATTTCTTAACTATGCAGGCTTCATCAACCACTTTATCAATGATAAAAGCTGCAGGCACTTTTGTAAAGTTGGAATGGGATAAAAAAAGATATTTATGTTGTATTAGGAGTGACAGATATTTTTACAGACCTCAAGATTCGTTCTTTCACAAGTTATATGCTCATCCCTGAAAGTTTTATAAGTCCAACCTCTGCTTAGAATCAGTAAAACCAATTTGTAAATTGGGGTCAGTCTTTCAGAAATCCAGGTAGGTGGGAGGCCCTCAATCAGCTGAATTAATTAGGCAAAATAAAGCCCGTACATAACCTCTTCAAAACTAGTTTTTGGTATCATGCTACTCATGTTGTTGAATTTGAACCCAAGTTTAAAACTTTGTTGAATATGACAAATTAATATTCTCAGAAATCTGAAGTTTTGAACTGCATTTCTTTAGTCAATGATTGCATTTAGAAGTAAATTCTCTGTTTCTAATCACTTTAATGTTTCTCAAAATTTGTGTTCTTGTGTGACCTCTGCAAATTGTTCTTAGTCTAAAGGCAGATTTCTGTGAAGAGGTTGTGTACCACCCAGTGAGCTTCTCATGGTTTATATAAATGTAGTTTATTCATTTCCTATGAAAATTAGCTGTCTATTGACATGAGTATCTTTTGTTTTCAACCATCTGAATGCTTATGATGCATTTTTCCAAGTCCTCAGTGCAAATATAGTAGAGAATTATGAAATTTATAAATTAACAAATAACTTTTCTGAATGATCTAAAGAAGAAAATGTGAGTTAAAAAATAAAACCAGGCGTGGATATTATTACTTTTTGAGAATATGTTAGTTGCCTGTAGAGCACTGGTATTCTCATGGAGTGACTTCATGGCATAGAAGTCCCTCTGGCAGCAGGGAAGCTTAGTCTGTGACCACTGGGGTGAGGGGAGAGAGGATGGGCTGAGGTGGCTCACTGGTGTTGGCCACTGCACTGGGAGGAATCTGAGCAGGAGAGTCTGGAGGCAGAGCAGAGCAAGGAGGTGGAGGAGGAGGGTAGAAAATGGATCATCTGGGTGCTCCATCAGGACTCGCACTGAAAAGGGAAGCAGCGAGATACATTATGCTTGTGTGTGTGTGTTTTGGGTGTGGTGCAAGGGTAAACAGTAGTTTTTTAAAGTTAGCCAGTATTATCTTCATGTGATATTTATTTCAAGAGCAAATAAATTAGATAAAATATTACAGGAGAAAAAAATCAGCTTTAGAAATACCTTTTTCAGTCCAAAATTGTCAAATTTAATGGAAATTCTAATTTTTGTATAAAATTTATCACCTTTCCACTGTATGTCTTGCTATACAGCAAAGCACTGTGTTCACTTATGTTTCATTTTTTTGTATGTTTCCTCACTAAACATTCCTATTTTTTCCTTCAGTTGAATTTTCAAATTATGTTCCTATTAATTTACCTGTGGTTTTATTGGTAACAAAAATGGGCAGTTTTCCAAGGCTGATACAAGTGAGCATTTTAAGGGCTTTGTCTAATCATGTGCCGTGCAATCAGATATTTGAACTGTTTATTAGCTTGAGAAATAGAAGACTGTTCCATTGCATTCATTGCATTAATCTTGGTGTGTGAAAAGCAGAATGATTGAAAATAAAGATCTTTACTTACTTTTGGAGAAAAAAAAAATTAGTCAATTATTATTTATTAAGAAAGACAAACTAGGGTGAAAATTGGTTTTGTATGAAAGACATCTCTGAACAAGTTATTCAGTGTAGATTAAAATAATTGTATTTTTTAAAGCATTAGTGTATGTAGGAGTAAGAATTTTTATGGCACCACTGTAAGCTCAATGAAGTCAGCATAATGAGTTATGTGGTGCCAACATCCTGAACGTTATTACAAGGATTTCTAAGGAGAAGAATTAACATAAAGGATATACAATTCATGTCTTCTGGAGGGGCTATCATTTCTGCATTGGGCCTCAAGGAAATTCAAAACAGAAATGAAAGTCAAAGATGCAACTACTTTCATACTGCTGGTGCAGCGTTCATACATATTTCATGGAAGCTGCATGGGCGGGGAGATCACCTTTTTTATAGGAATGGCACAGCTAAGTCTTAGGGTTTTACTGTTCGTGTCAAGCGCTGTGTTCTTTCTAGGAACACAGCCTGTGGGGTTTTTTGTTTGTATGTAACCATTGGTGTAAAAAGAACAAACAACAGGGGGATAGTTCCTGTGTGTTCACTAGACTGGCAACCTTGCTGTCCACCAGATTGTTTTAAACTAAACTTCATTTAGTCCCATCCCTTTCTCAGTTACTACATAGCAATCCAGGTTTCTGAGTTTTTACAATATCCACATGGGAGGAAATAATTAATATATGACATTTAATTATCTGAGTGATAAAGACTTAGTAAATGTAAATAATTGCTGCAGTACCAAATAGCCGACTCATAGGTACTACTTGTAGTAAATCCTAAATCTTGTGATAGCACCATTCAGTTTTTAACCAGAACATGCACCACATTCTACGTGGATCAGTATTGCAAACTTTAAGGTATTTGTTGAAGAGCATTATCAATTGGCAACAGAAAAAAAAAGAAGAACCCATACTAGGAGTTATATCGAACAACAACCATTACATGCACCAGATGCAGATGTTAGTTCCACTGAGCTATTCTCAATGGAAAGGATAGTTGATTACTGTCTACATTAGACCTATTCCTTAAGGGAAGTAAATGCCTGGAAATCAGGAAAAACCAACACTCGAAGATTTTGATTTCTGGCTTTAACAGAAGTTTTTGATCTTTCATTTACACTCTGGCCATCCTGAGCTATTCTCAGAGTTCAGAAATGCTGAATTGTGTTCTGATAGCCCTAGAACCTCGATTCATCCTTGTTGTTCTGATCGAGGCATAATCATCCAGTGCTTCAGGTTCACATTATTCCATAGGATACTGCTTAGTTTTAGTATACCTTACATAGAGTGAGTCATTAAAACTGAAAAGTAAATTTTGAAATAAATACGTAAAGAAAATCTCTGTCATCCAAAATAGTGTTTTCCTCTCTCTGGGAAGGGAATGTTTTGTGATATTTTTGTCTTTTTGAAAAAAAATTGATTTTTTTCTCATGCACTAACCTTTCTGTATTGGATTTGCAGTTATTCGATGTGTCTGAAATAAGTTAAGTAATGAGACAAGGTTCAGTTCTGATGTGCAATTTCACAAAATTGCCGTATAGCCACTTATAGCAAAGTTTTCTATTTCCTTGATATACCTTTTGTTCATATTACTTTTAATTATGTTCTGTATTTATCTGACCTATTTGAACAGGATCCAGAGCTGGTACGGAACATCTGTCGCTGGGTTAGACAAGCTGTTCAAATTCCTTTCTTTGCCAAGCTGACCCCAAATGTCACTGATATTGTGAATATTGCAACGGCTGCGCAGGAAGGTGAGTGACTCCAGTGCACAAGCTGTGCAGATTTACGAATTTACTGGATGGGATATGATAGGAGTGTTACTGGAATAACAGAAACTAATATGAAAATAGTTTGTTTGATCTATATAGAATAAGCACAACGATCAAAGGTCCATGCATCTAAAATATAGCAATATGTGAAGAGAACCATGGTAGACTGTTAACAATAAATTGTATATGTTTGTATGTCTTTGCCTGCACGCTCTTACTTCTGTCATATTTATGTTTACCATACCACTGTTAATTCCCCTATTCCTGTATTTAGTAGTAAAAATTACATGTGTGTCCTGAGAAAACAAAAATACACCATTTGAAGCTGGTTTTTTTTTTTCTTTAGAGCTTAAAGTACAACATGAGAGGAAGTAAATTTGCAAGTAGGTGCATTAATCTGTCACTTAGAACTGTGGTCATTGTTTCTGTGTCACACTGTCTTGCTGCTCAGAAGCTTGCAGGAGGTGGCCCCTGTCCTGGGGTACCCTCAGGTCATGAACAACCACTCTAACAAGTTCTGGCCCACACAGCTGAAGGGCAGAGATGTATCTGTCAGCCCCAGTGTTTTGCACATGCTGTCTTACAGCCCTTACAGCTCTTTCAACTAATACAGCCTGCCTCGAAGCTAATGCTAAATTTATCAGCCCAGGATTGGTCTTAAGGACCTTTTTGCGCATCTGCTTGCAGTTTGTTGCTTTTGCCCTTCAGCTCTTTATTTGAATTCCTAGTTATTTCAGAGTTTCACAGGTTTTCTCTTGTATTTTTTCCTCTCTTGTTTTTATACACATGATTTAACAAAAAGTGACTGACCTTTTCTTTCACAGGTGGCGCAGATGGTGTTACAGCCACCAACACTGTGTCAGGACTGATGGGACTGAAAGCAGACAGCACACCTTGGCCAGCAGTTGGTAGAGGACTGAGGACCACATATGGTGGGATGTCAGGTAGGTGTTGCCCTTTTTGATGCGTGGTACTTCCTTGGAGGCTTTCAAAACATCAGGAGGTCCTTGTAGTGGGCTAGAATATCATGTCTGCAGTCGCACCGAGTCCTTAAAGCTCACTGCTGGTCAGTGTTTCTAAGTCATGACAGATGGAACAGATTAAGTGTGAAGGCTCTTGGGTTGCCCTTTCCTTAATGGTAAAGCACTGCATCAGAATACTGTGATAGGGTCACTGGAGAGGGAAGGAAATCTCTTCCCTCGCGACCCTCGCTTTTCCTCAAATTTTTCATCCTGTCACAATTGTCAGGCCCCATGTTAGACAGAGGCTAATGAAAGGGCATCGCAGGGGGAAATATCAACAATCCAAATGCAGTATATGTTTCATAGCCTGATCTTCAGCCTTTCTCCCTCCTTCCCACTGAGTGCACCTCTTCCAGGGATGTTATTTCCTCCTCTTCACACTGTGGTAAAAATGATAGACAGTATTATGCAAATATATGCATATTTTTGTAGCCTATTCCTCAAGATATACAAGAATACCTTGTGTAGGCCATACTTTTAAGTCCTGCTTCACAGTTTAATTTTCAAACCAGCAGCAAAACTTTTACACTCCAGTTCAGTGCCTGTGCACACTAATGTATTAATCTATTGACCCTGTGCGCTCTGTTGCTGTGACAACACGAACTTGGCCCTGCAAAGACAATGCTGTGAGCTTCTTGACTTTACTGGTGTGGAGATTAGTCTCCTTGGTGATAGAGGTAGCAGTAAATATACATAACAGAAGTAGTAGCGTCCTCCTGATTGAGTCAAATGCTATTCTATCAGACCCATCTCCTACCTCACTCCAAAAACATAATTGGAGGAGACTGGACAGGCAAAAAGGTTCTTTATTTTATGTGACTGGTGTTACCCTTTGAGAACCATAAGAAATGTAGCAAAAGGTAACTTTTAAACAAACTTTAATTCAGATGAGTGTATTCAGTGGCAAATTGTGTTATTGCCTTAGATGGCTACATGGAATTTGAAATTTTTTAGAGAATGCTGAAAAGTAAGAAAGAGATAACAATCAGAAAAAATCATTATGCCTGTCGCATAATGATTATTTCACAGTGACAGTCCAATAAGATGTTATATTTTAATATTATGCAAAATTGTAGGAAGAGGGGAACAAGAAGAGAACAGCTACAGCCCATTTCAATTTCTCTAGCCTGCCATGTTGACAGGAAAAGAATAAAGGAGGTCACAGTGGGTGCTGTGCATTAAAAATTAATAAAAGAACTATTGCAGTAGTATTTTATATAAGTAACACCATTCACATTTTCTCATTTAAGTTGCAATTTCTGAATATTCCTTCCTACCATAAGTCTGCCTAATAAAATCTATAAAATGACTGCATTATGAAAAGTGTGTCTCTTATGTCACGAATTTGAAACACATATGCAGTGTAAATTACAGTGGCACCTGCATGCTCAGCTGTGAGGATGTACCAGCATTTCTCTGGTTTATAATACTAAGTAGACCTGAAGAAAAGTTCTTTATTTTATTTATATATATGTGTGTGTGTATCTATGAATTTATTTTTTCCTGAAGTTTTACATGTGTGAGAGGAGAGAGAAAATGACATTTTAGAACGCACCATTACCTGTAACGCAAATCTGGTTATTTAAAAAATATGAAAAACGCTGGAAGTGCTGTCAATTTACTATGTTTTGAAAGAGCATAATGTAACAGACAAATATATAAACGTTTCTTGCTTAGTCGTCATCACTAGGTCCCAATCACACAACTCCTTGCACAAAAGAAAGCCACAGAGCCAATAAAGTCAGTTGGCTTGGCAGCATGTTATAGTACGTTTTGCTCAGTGGCCAGTTATAGCAGTATACAAATCTACAAAAGTAGGAAAGCTATTTTAAATCAAGAGAGCTAGCATGCTTACAAAACTTGGGAGAGCGTGTCATCTCATCAGAGCAAGGGGCAGAGTGGCCGTACTTCTGTTCCCAGCCGTGCTACGGCTGAGACGTGTGGCCTGCAGCCAGACACTTGACCTTTCCGTGCTTTATTTCCTGTCTGTGGAATGGCAGTAACACCACTTACATGCCTACAGGCTTGTTGGGAAGTGCTCTGTGGTCTTGGCATGAAAGACGCTTCGTAGCGTAATGTATTGGGTTTCTATTTTGATGTGCATAAACTTCTTGTTTTATTTTATTATCTGATAGAGTCAGTAAGTTTTTGTTGTTTTTTTCAAATAATGCCTCTCAAGAGAGAATTCATTTTTAAGTGAAAGTCAACACTATTATAGAAACAATGTCTAGTTCATTTTCAGTGTGTTTTACCAAAGCACAGCTGGTTTATTGTGTTCTGTCATGCACAAACCTAGAGCAGATACAGCGCATAGCCAAGCTGGGTTGGGCTTTCTGGATTTTTCCATGTGCACAGATTCTGGACTAGCGGTGATGCTCACATGGCACAGAGGTACAGTGAGTGAGGCAGGAGCCCCTGACCTGCAGGGTGCCGCACTCACAGTGCTGTGTGACCATGGGTGGGTGAGGTGGGAGCTGGCCTCAGCCCTGTGGAAGTCTCAGCACAGGGTCCCCTTAGTCAGGTGTGCTGGTGAGGTGTGAAACGTACCTTGGCTCAGCAGTGGTGACCCAGCATTGTTCAGCTGGAATGGAGTTGCTTGCAATGGAATATTTCTGGAGTGCTGGGTTAAACTGGATTTTAGATCAGTCTGAACTTGCTTATCTTTTTCCCTTCCTTTTTGCACATAAATCATAGGAAACTCTCTCTACCCCCAGCAGCATTGCCTGCCAGTTATAAGGGTGTTCTGTCTGGAAGGGTGCTTGTGCTTCAGAGACCAAAAATCCGAAACTGCAGCAGGGACACTTTCCTTCCTTGGTGTTGCATAGAGAAACGTGCCCTGTCCCGGCTGTCTGCCTTTCCCTTTGCTCCCAAGAGCCAGGGTGGAGGTGCGGTGTGCATGAGGAGGTGGCCCCCAGACACTGGAGATGAGCCACCCCAGCCCAGAACACAGCCCCTCACACCCCGAGATGAGGCCACAGGCCAGCCCCTGTCTCTGTCCGCTGGCCTGGGTCATGTAGAAGGAAGCTGGTCTCTTAAAGGACCGACGTTCTTCAGGAGTTTTTAAATTCACTGTGTCCACACGTTTCATAGTACAGTGCAGGTTTTCTTCTCCAGGTGAGTGCAAACTCCTCTGAGTTTGATAAAGGTTTCTGACAAAGCAGATAATGAAGATGTGTTAATGCCCTGGCCTAGCAGCAACCTGACATTTTGACTTACAGGCTTTGCTGTCCTCCAGGGTTCAGAATTGTGCTCCTACCTGGCCACGTACTGAAAAAATATATTCCATATAAAATTTCCCCTTGGCCTCCTCATCCCTCCTCTTCTTGTCTGCCTCATGCAGAAGCAACTCTATGCAGGAAGTTTGTCCTTCATTTTTCTAGATAAGAAAGACATTGAAGCAGAATTTTTTTTTATAATTCCCTTTAAATTACTAAATTACAGGTAGTTTCTTATGGTTTGTCTTGTGTTCATAAAAGTAATAATAATAAAAAAGTTTATTAACATCATTGCCAAATCCTGAGATATTTTAAAAATAGACTTATGTCTCTGGTTTTTTAAAATATTTTTTAAAAATTCTTTCAAAGAAGGAGAGACTTAATGAGATTACTTTGAAACCCCCATTTAATTTCAAGTTGTCACAATTGGTGTTTTCTTGCCAGCCAGTGCTCAGGCAGTGACCTTCCTTGATCAGCTGACAGTTGCTAAGCTGCAAGAGGCATCACTCTTTCCTCTGTCCTACCCTCCTGTTTCTTGGGTGGTTTTGACAGGGAAGGATCCCAGTATCCCAGGTGGATGTCTGACCACTAGACTGTAGGATTAGTCTCTCTCTCTTCTCCACTTCCTTGCAAATATTGAATTATTAATACAAACAGAAACAGCTCTCACAGGATACACACTCATACTAGCACAGCCTGCTGACCTGCACATGAGCCTGACCTGTGAGAGCCAGGTTTAAATCCCAGGTGTGAGCCCAGGTCCCTGCTCAGTCCCCTGGATTCCAAGTTTACCCTCTTACTATTTAGCATGGTAAAATATTTCAGGTTTTTCTTCTCATTTTACCTCGATCTTGGTGCCAAAAATTATTCGCAAGAAAAATTTCACTAATTTTGACAAATTGTTGTTTTCTAAAGAAAAGTAATTTCCAATTGGCACTATGAAGCCTCAGATGAGCCCAAGGGCTATGGTAGCCCTGCGGACTCCTTTGGCCCCGTTACCCGAGAGAACATTGTGCTTACAGGATCCCAGTCTTCATCTCTTTTTTAAATAAATTTACAGGAACTGCCCATTACTCAAAAAGTGGAAATGTCCTAATGAAGTCTACAAAATATGGTTAAGGAAATAAGCCCTTATGATGAAAGAAAAATACTAAAATTAAGATATGTTTTCCAAACTATCATATGTGTTTGCAGGATTAGAGACATAGTTTGATTTCCATTAAGAAGCTTTTACAATGGATCTAGCAATTTTTCAAGTCTGAGAATGTAGTACACATGAGATTTTATCCTGAGTTCTACCTATACACATGTAATGCAGAGTATTTGTTTCTTAATAAGAAGCTAATGCTGTGGTTTTTTTCCTCACAGGGAATAGTGACCTCTGGCTCTAAAAGATATATTTTAGTTTGTATAAATTATTGTGAAAATGCGTATTCTATAGATACCAGAATAAGATGCCAGGTTTCCCAGAGAAATATTAATATACTGTCAGCAGCTGCATGCTTCCCTAAGATTTCTTTCCTTTAAATGTATTTTAAAATTAAAAAAAAAGGTTTTTTTGTGAGCTTTCATACTGTGCTTCCATATTCCAGATGTGTTTTATAAAACACATCACATTGCAGCACAATAAGATATCTATTGCAGGCAAAATAGAGCAGGGCTTCTGTTTGAATTTCCATGGTTTTTTGTTCTTTGTCATCTGTTTGT